AAGGTGAGTGTAATTCAACTCAAATACTCCAAATCTCCCTCCAATTGCTTAGCATCAAGCTTTAAAATGGAGTTTTCCACTCACCCAAGCTAGGGTTTTGAAATAGTGATCATGGTTGGCGAAATATTCATGCAAACCATCAAGATTCATGGTAATTGTTTGATTTGAGAGTTGACCCTTGTGTTTTAAAGTTATGTTGAGTAGTTTGAGAGAAACTACCTTCTAATCTTTAGTGTTTTCATGCTTTGCCTTCATACATGTCTATATGTTTGTGTATATGTTTGGTAAATCTTGGAAAGATGAAGAAGTGGGATGAATGTGACAATTTGGGGTTGTAATTTTGTAAATAAAAGAGTTATAATTTACTTGAGCTTGAAAATCATGTTTATTATGTTTATATCCTATGTTATGGAGAACTAAATTGCTTGATTTAAAGCTTTGAATTGTCTTTAGAAGGCTGAATTGTTAAATTTTCAGACTGCTCAAAACAGGGCTAGAACCGCACGTGTTTTTGGATCTTTGGCTTTGATTACTAATGGTTTTGGCTATTTGGTTTGGTTACTAATATTTTTGGATCTTTGCTTTAGAGGGGTGTTTTTGTCATGTTAGTTTTGGTTCTATCCTTAGGTTTCGCCATGTCAACCTCTAAACGCCGAAAGTCTACGGCAAACCGTCCCCTTTATAATCCTGACCATTTCCCCTCCGCCTAAAAAGCCAAAAACTTTCGAGAAGCCTATATCTCCCGTAGAATCCATCTAGAGAGAAATGTGCAACCAAATACTTTTGAGTCGATCCTTATACGGCCTGCGTTTCAACCTTTAGGAGGTGACCTAGTCCTCTTTTTCTCTGGGTCGATGATGTCGGTCCTTCCTTTAAAACTTGGGTTAGATCTAAGGAAATCACCGTCAACCAAGACCTTATTCGTTCTTTCCTATGCATCGGCCTTGTTGTCAACTCTCACTTCCCTTTCTTTGTTCGCCCCCACTTGTGACTTCAACGAGGTGGCCACTACGTTGTGTGGTACACCCATAACCTGGATTAAGGGAGCTCTAATAAAACGGAATGAACTCCTTTCTCGATTTTGATTGCTTAACCTCATTGTTTGTGCCAATATCATTCACTACCCACAGCTCTGAAATTAACCAAGACCAAGGCTATACCCTTTACTGTATAGATCGCCAGTTACCTATCAATCTTGCCAGTCTTATCCTCCAAAAGATGATAGCTGTGATTGGGAACAAACAGTTAGGGTTACCCTATGGTTGTTTTATGAACTGCCTCCTCTCTAAACTTGAGGTCCCGATCCTAGATGAGGACGAGTTTGCCACTCCTATCAAACCCTTCACTAAGAAAACCGTTTCTCAGAGTTGGGCTCATGTTAAAGGGGAGTCGTTTGGGGCCGGTACTTCTACTACAGGTGATGATGATCTTCTCACTAAGGAGGTTGAGATAGATGTTGCGGTTGCTGGTGTGGAGGAGCATGATGTCCGTCCACGGACCATTCGTGGCCAGCTTCGTTAGTTTGAGCAATCCATGACATAGCGATTGGATCACATGGATGCTCGCCTTGATGCCTTTGATGGTTGACTTAGACATCTTGAGCAGCCTGCCGATAAGACTACTTTTCAACTTGCGCAGATTATATCCTTGTTACAGATGGAGCAGCCTCCTCCATCGCCGCCAGATCAGTGATTTTGTTTTCTTTCCTTGGACAATTTTTTATTTTTTTATTTTTTCTTCTCTTGGACTGTTTATACTTCTTTTGCCTTTTATTGACATGTCTCCTGGACAAAAAGGGGGAGTAGATCTTTTTGTTTTAGTTGTTTTAGTTTTAGATATTTTTGTTTTAGTTCATGGGTTTTTGGCATCAATATAGATATTGGATGTTTTTGATATACTTGGATTATTTCTGCCTATTTATATTAATCTCCTATTTCCATAGTTTTGGTTTATGTTTTTTTAAACAGGTGGTTTGTTCATGGTGTTTCTAAATTGGTTTGTCAAAGGGTTGGTTTGTAGTTTATGTTTCATTGATGTTGTGTCTAGTGCGTGTGTTTGTTAGGAAAAATTGTTAGAAAGTTTTGTCCGGGAATTAACAAATGAGGAGATTGTTAGGTCCTTACTTGTTGCCAATTCTGCGAACAAACTTGGTTTAATTGAGTTATAATTTTTCCTTGCTTTTTGGTCTTCCCGCTCGAGCAGGAAAAGCTGCACTCGAGCGGCAAACTCACACCCTCAATAGTTTGGCTTGTTTGCAAAAGTACTAAGAGGTGTGTTTTTACGCTCAAGCGTCCTTTCCAACGCTCGAGCGTAGGTCCTTATTCAAAAACACGCATTTAAGTCACACCGCTTGAACAGCCATTCCTGAGCTCAAGTGGTGATCGCGGATTAGTTTGCTAGAAAGTTGCTTTTCAATCAGAATTTATGGTACGACTTTCAGATCTTCTTTTTGGGATTTTAGGGTTTTCTTTTGGAGGTTATTTGCTAGTTTTCCTTTGATTTCTTTGTGAGTTTGTTCATGGATCAAGAGAGTTAAATCAAAGGGTTATCGATTTGATTTTATCAATACAAGAGTGTTGTTCTTCGGTGGATTCCGGAGATTCAAGCGTGGAGTATTTGAAGGAGTTTGAAACTGTGTGTGGTCGTTGATTCGACATGGATGTTGTGGATTCGACATCAAGTTGATCAATTCTGAGACGAACGCGGTGGTGAAAGAGATACAGATTGTTAAAGAAAAATTGATAGAGTTTGATAATTTGTTTGGTAATTTTGTATTCTTTCTTTTTTTCATAGTGGATTGATTAGTGGTGTTTCACCCGTGGTTTTTTAATCACAATTGGAGGTGCTACAATTGTGATTTTTTCACGTAAAAATCGATTTTGTTGATTTATTGATTTTGAAGTAACAATCTAAATCACTTTCGTACATGCTAGATGATTTAGATTGTTTGTTTTAATTGTGAGAATTGTTGCAATTAATTCTGGTTCGAATCACGAATCACTTAGGTTTTTCACTTGGTACCCAAAAAATTATTGATGATCATGTTGTAATCTGTTTTAAGTGAAGAATGTCATTTGTTATGTTCTTGAGAGACATGAATATTTTAACTGTTGAATTGTGGAACTTTCTTTTTGTAACAGATTGTCTTTATCAATACTGTATGCCAATCTAATTTCTATGATACATATCTTATTTTGGAATTGAACCATTTTTTTTCAAAACTGTATTTACTATCCATGCTTCTACCCACTGAGCTATCAGCTGACCTGGTTATTTATCATTTCCTGGTGATAGAAGGACTTAGAGTGGACTCATAGCATAGCGGAGACTCATTTGCATAGACCTCTATAGGACATTCATTTATTTTGTTTTAGCTTGTTATGTCGGTTTTATGCAAACATTGTGGTTGGGTATTTGCATATACAAAGGCGTGTTTTGTCCATTTAAGTCTTTACAGCTCATTGGACGTTATATTTTATTATTTATTGGCTTCCGCTAGCCCTTATTACTGTATTACTGTTAAGCAGGCCTTTGGTAATCTCAGATTACTGGCCGATCACTTCTTTAATCCCTTGGGACAGGGGTTGAGTCGTGACAATTAGAATCAACTTTTTAGGTATTCAAATTCATTTACGAAGAATTAATCGAGTTTGAGTTTGGCTTGTCAAGTATTTGAGCAAAAGAAAAAACTACAAAATCTTATCCAATTTATCACAATGAAAAAAGGGGCACACTTAATGACATACAAAAAGGCATGACTCACATTCTGGAGTTCTCTACGAGAAAACGAAGCTCAAGTGTGAAAAAGAACCGTAAACTTGAAAAGAAAAGTTAATTAATTAATTTTAAAATTTAAATTTTTGTACCACTAAAATAGAAGAATCAATTAACATCTTTCAAATATTTTTCCTCTTGACGTTTAATTCTTTAAATAATTCAAAAAAAAAAAAAATCTTCTATTGGCTAACTTTTATTAAATCATTTAAAAAAAAAATTATGTATTGATTTACACATTTCAAAAGAAAAGTTAATTAATTCATTTAAAAATTTTAATTTAAAAATTTGAAAAGGAAACTTAACTAATCAGTTTTAAAATTTAAATTTTTGTACCACTAACATATCTGAATCAATTCACATCTTTCATATATTTTTTCTCTTGATGTTTAATTTTTTAAGTAATTAAAAATTTTATTTTTTATTAATTGATAAAAAGCACCGTAAACATTAAGATTATATATATATATATATATATATTTAATAATATTGAATTATTGAAATATGATGCATTATACGCTTAAATCAAGAATTATTGGAAAAAAAATTACTTGAACTAGATATTCTAGACTCATTTTTAATATTTAATCTAATATTGAAACTCTCAAACTAGCTCATACCGATCACAAACCAATAAAGACAATTTTTAATAATTAGGTGAATGTCACATTGAAATAAATATTGAGCCAAGTAGCTTCTAAGTTACTTCTAATATTTAGTCCAACACCACACACTACTATAACATTTTCTTAGTTCAGTGACACTTGAAAGTGCCACAAAATTATTCCTCTAGTGGCATTTTTTAGCCTTGTGGCATTTTGAACAAGTGTCATTTATATCCATACCACGGTAGATATTAGTGGCACCTTAGTGATACTTGTAAATGCCATTACACCATCAAAGTTAAAGATTTTCAATAACACTTTGATGTCATGGTAGACATTATTCGTGACACTACTAAACGTTATTAAAGAAGACTTACAATTTAAAAAATGCTACTACATACTTTTTTAATGGCGCTTCTTATACCATAATTGATATTTTTAATAACTCTTATAAATGTTACTAAATCCAGCTTTTAGTGACTGCTCAAAGTGTGAGCGTTTCACTATTCATTTATGCCATAAATGGAGATAAATTGAAAAAAAAAACAAAAATAAATAAATAATTATTTTACAACATTCACTCCATTGATATTTTGGTTTGCAAGATAAACAAATAAAGTTTCATTTATTAAATATAATTACAATTGATACAAATACAACAATATTGTTCTTAACTAATAAAATAAAATCAAAACATTGTTCCTATTTTAACAAAGACAATATCATTATCATAATATCAGAAACAAAAATTAAACAAATACAATATTTACATGTCTAAAAAAAAAAGAAGAGGTGAAAAACTGTATGCTTACCCCGATATGGTATTTGCTCTGATGCTGGCACCCTTGCAGATATGTGGGTACCATCAATTGCTCCAACACAATCCTATTTGACAAATGACTTTAATAATGCAGGATATTTTACTAAAATTTATATTTCAAATATTCTGTTAGTGATTACCTTAAAAAAAGGATAGAAGCGTGGATTATGTCGAATTTCTGCAGGCACCTCATCAAAATCTGGAGGCCTTATAACTTGTTTACCAAGCCTACACACTGCCTTCAAGACTCGGTTGAAGTATTTGGAGATGGTTTGGCCAGAATGTTGGAATCGCTCTTGGACAACACGATTTCGTTCGTTGTGACCAATTGTTAGCAAAAATATACAAACTTGCTCTTGGACAGTCAGATAACGTGAGTGTTCCAGTTTACCATATACCTTAAGTGCCTCGCACAAATTAATAAATACATCTGGTTCCATTCTGAAATTTTCCTTGGACCTTCTTTCATGGCCATTCAATATTTCTAATACGTAGTCATGTCCTTGTAATATGGACGTTCGGCATGGTCTAGGTTGAAGGTAAGTATTACAATACTCATGTAGTGCTACACACACCAGAAATTGTATATTTTCATCGTCACTGTCTGAGTCAAAACTCAAATCAAGAGCATGCATCGGCTCCATATATATCACTGTGATATAGTGCTGACCCCTTAAAAACAAAAGTATTAGTGATAATGAAAATACATGACATAATGGTCACACAATAATTTTTTCTTTCATTGAATTTTTTTCGGTTTGGTAACCATTTTGTTTGGTCCAATTCAAATGTTGGCTCCATATATTTTAATTTCATATCACTTTAAAATAATTAAAATAACCCACATCTAGTGATGTCCAATTCAAATGTTGGCTCCAATTTATTATTACAACAAAAAATGATAAAAAAATAAATCAAGATCAAGATCAAGATCAATTTACATTATAATCAAACATATGATATACACCTTTTAAAAAATGTCTCATAGAATTGGCGATCATGCGTATGGTAAGATTATTTTAAATCATAACAAAACAAATAGTGGAGACTTTTAAAGCCAAAGTTTCTAGTCTCTTTCTTTATTGTATGACTGTACCACATTTTCTTTATTTATGCTGTAGACCGAAATAAAGAGAAACATTAAATTTAGTCATCCCCATGCACACATACTCCATATAGTCATCGTTTTTGCAAATTGCTTTTCAATCTATGAAGTGGGTATCTCATCTCTATGTTAATTGGGTGAGCCATCTAATACTATGCTGTTATTTATAGTATTTTTTGTTTGGCTGTGAAGGCAACATTTATCATGTTCACAAAACTACTGGATACTCTATCAAAGACCCTCGGTAACCATAGTGAAAGAAATAAGAGAGTGATATTGAGAGAGTAAGAAAACTCTTGTATTCAATATATCTGAAAGTGTAAGAAGGGACTCCATATATAGGAGCTGCTTTATACAACATCATTATGAAAGCAAAACATATAATAATAGAAACCAGCCGAAAGCGAAGGCAACCGAATATATAATAAGAATCCTATGCTCCTATGCTCTGAAAGAAATAAGAGAGTGATATTGAGACAGTAAGAAAACTCTTATATTCAATATATCTGAAAGTGTAAGAAAAGACTCCATATATAGGAGCTGCTTTATACAACATCATTATGAAAGCAAAACATATAATAATAGAAAGCAGCCGAAAGCGAAGGCAACCGAATATATAATAAGAATCCTATGCTCCTATGCTCTGTCATCCTATAGCTATATATGATACATTAATATGCTCTGTCATCCTATAGCTATATATGATACATTAATATAATATATACATTATTATGATACATTAATAGCCCCCCTCAAACTCAAGGAGGACAAACATCAACCAACTGGAGTTTGGAGGCAAGTTCAACCAAGCGGCCAGGAGAATGAGCTTTGGTGAAGATATCAACAGGTTGATCAACAGAAGAGATCGGATGGAGATGGACAGTACCACGAGTGACGAATAAAATGGCAGTCAATCTCAATGTGCTTGGTGCGATCATGAAAAACATCATTGTGAGCAATTTGAAGAGCACTGTGATTGTCACAAAAGAGGTCAGTAGCACCTGAGGGGGTAACACCCATGTCAGCAAGGAGCCAACGAAGCCAGAGAAGTTCTTGAGTAGTATCAGCAAGAGCACGGTATTCGGCCTCGGTACTGGAACGAGCAGTAAGAGATTGTTTCTTGCTGCGCCAAGAAATAAGAGAATCACCCAGAAAAAAACAGAACCCAGTAGTAGAGCGCCGGTCAGTAGGATCGCCAGCCCAATCAGCATCGGAGAAAGCACGAAGCTGGAGAGATGAGCGGGCGGAATAATGAAGACCATGAAACAGGGTGCCTTTGAGATACCGAAGGATACGAACCAAGGCAGCATAATGAGGGGTACGAGGAGCCGACATAAACTGGCGGACAATATGAACGGCATAGGCAATATCAGGACGAGTAACTGTGAGATAGACAAGACTGCCAACCAGCTGACGATATAGTGTAGCATTAGAGAGAAGAGTGCCATCAAAAGGTGTAAGACGACTCTGAGGTTCCAGGGGAGTAAAGGCAGTCTTGCAATCCGTAAGACCAGCACGTGTGAGAAGATCAGAGGTATACTTAGCCTGAGAGAGAAAAGAACCCGTAGAATCATGGAAGATTTCAAGACCCAAGAAATAGCTGAGAGGACCAAGGTCTTTCATCTCGAAATGATGGCTAAGAAACTGTTTAAGACGAAGAATACCATCGATATCATCACCAGTGATAATCATGTCATCCACATAAAGTAAAAGCAAGGTGGTCCCTTGAGCTGTTTTTCGGATAAAAAGAGCAGTATCATAAGAGCTGGAGGTGAAACCACATTTCTGAATAGTGGAGCTGAACTTGGCAAACCAAGCACGTGGAGCTTGTTTGAGACCATATAAAGCACGCTGAAGTTTGCAGACTTGATGCGGGAGATAAGCAGACCCAGGGGGAGGTTGCATGTAGACCTCCTCGAGAAGAACACCATTAAGAAAAGCATTTTTCACGTCCAGTTGATAAAGATACCATTGTCGAGTGGTAGCAACAGCAATCAAGCTGCGAACAGAGGTGAGACGAGCAACAGGAGCAAAGGTCTCCTCATAATCAATACCATATTCTTGATTGAAGCCTTTTGCAACAAGGCGGGCTTTGTAGCGCTCAATAAATCCATCAGAACAAGTCTTGATTTTGTATACCCATTTGCAGCCAATGGCAGTTTTTCCAGGAGGAAGATCAACAATGTCCCAAGTATGAGTTTTGTCTAAAGCCTGCAATTCATCAGTCATAGCTTGCTGCCAAAGAGGATTAGAGCGAGCCTCACGATAGGAGGTTGGTTCATAAGTAGAAAAAGCAGTAGAACCAACAATAAAGTCACGAAGACGAGCAGAAGGTTGGGTTACCCGGTGTGGTCGAGTAGAGGCATGAGGAGCCAAAGGGAGAGACGCATCAGGAGGGGAGGATCCCGAGGGAACAAGAGCAGGACCATCAGAGGTAGCAGGTGCATGGGACAGACCAGTAGGCAAGGCAGGCTCGAGAGAAGCTGGCGGGGGCGGTGGAGCAAGCTCAGCAGAGAACTCGAGAGAGGAATCAGTCACAAACAAATTCCTTAACGAGTTGAGTATTGTAAATTTAATCTTTATAGTTTTAGTTATATATCAATTTTGTTTCAATTTTTATATTATGTTAATTTAATTCTTTAATAATATTCATTAAGAAAATAAATTAAAAAAAATATTTTGAAAGAGATTATTCGGCGAGCTGTTCCCAAAAGACCACATGACGAGAGATACGAAGTCGTTGGGAGAGAGGATCCCAACAACGATACCCCTTATGTTCAATACCATACCCCCAAGAAGCAACAAAGGCGGGAACGAGGTTCAAGTTTGGTACGTTCATGAGGTTGGAGAAGAACAAAATTGGCAGAGCCAAAGACTCTAAGGTTGGTGTAGGGGGGACGGGTGCCATGCAGACGCTCATAAGGAGTGTGATTATGAATGACAGGTGTAGGGATACAATTGATAGTGTAAGCAGCAGTGAGAGGTGCCTCTCCCCAAAAATGTTCCGGACAAGAGGAAGACAAAAGAAGAGCGCGAGTAGTGTCGAGAATATGCCGATGTTTCCGTTCAGCATGTCCATTTTGTTGAGATGTGCCAGGATAGGATCGATGAAGTTGAGTACCATGACTCTGAAGGAAGGAAAGAAAGTCAAAATCTTTATATTCCATGGCATTGTCGGAATGAAAAAGCTTAATAGTTTTAGAAAATTGTGTTTTAACCATTGCAGCAAAATTGTAATAAAGTTGTTTGAGCTCAGATCGATTTTTCATAAGAAACAACCATGTAAAACGAGAAAAATCATCTACAAAAACAACAAAATAGCGGGCGCCGCCCATAGTGGGAGTAGGAGAGGGTCCCCAAATATCAGAATGGATGAGATCAAATGGTGCAAGAGAAACAGAGTCACTTTTATTAAACGACAAAGCAGGTTGTTTGGCAAGTTGACAAGACACACAATCTAAAGCATCAGAACTTACAGGACCTAAATGACCACGAGAAATTAAAGATTTTAAACGACTAACAGAAAGATGGCCTAAACGACAGTGCCAAAGCTGAAAAGGAGATAAAGGAGGAGCAGTGGTAGCAGTGGTAGGAGCTGTGATCTGAGAAGAATCTGGAACATGAAGATGGATAAGTTCGTAGAGACGTCCATGCTTACGGCCAATCCCAAGAGTTTGTCCCGTCCGAGGGTCCTGCACCAAACAACCAGTATGGGAAAAGGTAACAGTTAGACCATGATCACATAATTGACTAATGGATATAAGATTTAAAGTGAGAGCAGGCATAAGATAGACATGAGATAAAGATAAGTGAGAGGTGGAAACAGAACCAACATGACTTACAGATAGAAGAGACCCATCAGCAGTATGGATAGAAGGAACAGGAGAAGTAGAAGAGAGAGGAGTAAAAATAGTAGGGTCAAAGGTCATGTGATTACAACAAGCGGAGTCAAAGTACCAGGAAGTGTTACTTGCGGTGACAGACAACGCAGTAGATGGAGGAGTACCGGAATTCTGCCAAAAATGGTGAAACATGGCTTCGACATCTGTGTGAGAGAAGACTAGAGTGGAAGGATCTATAGGGACAGAGGTAGGTAAATCCTCTGAGGCAGCAGCAGCAGTGCGTTGAGCAGGCATTGGTTCAGACGGAGTCCCAGAACGGTGAGAGTTGTTGCGGGAAAAATGCCCGGGGGAAGGACCATTACGAGAGGCACGGGCAGGGTTGCGGAAGCAATCGTGCTAGAGATGACCAGGACTAATCTTGTTGCAAAACCGACAAAGACGAACTGGACAATTAACCAGAAGATGAGTCGACGGAAGACTGCGGTTTTGACAGTAGTTGCAGATAGGTGTCTTCTGTGCGGAAGATGGTGAAGGAGAACTTCGAATCTGGGGAGTAGCAAGAACAGAGTCCACAGGGTGTGGATGGAGAGTACCAAACTTGGTTTCCTCTGACAGTAGTTCAGAAATTGCTTGCTCAAGAGTGGGTAAAGGAGTGCGATGAAGGAGAGATGCGCGGACTGGCTCAAAACGGGGAGTGAGAGCCATGAGAAACTGAACCAAGCGTTGTTGGTCACGGTAAGTAGTAAACAAGGTAGCATCCTTAGTACAATCCCATGGAGGTTCAGAGAGAGCGAGCTGATCCCAAACATAATACATTTGTGAGAGGAAATCATTAATGGTTTGAGTTGTGTCTTGGCGTATACGGTGAAGATGACTCAGAAGCTAATATTGGTGAGCAAGGCCAGTAGTCTGATAGCGTTCTTGTAAAAAATCCCAGATGGCTTTGGCTGGAGAGAAAGTAGAGTCAAGTTGGAACCGACCAAACTGAAGGCTGATAGAAGTAATAGAAGTATTACGAAGCCAAGTGATGATCTGATAGTTTTTGCTATCCCAATCCTCCAGACGGTCAACATATTTGGCAGCGGAGTCCGTGGTGGCAGCGGATTCTGTGGTGGCTGGGATGGGTTTGCACACATCCCCAATGATGATGCGCCAAAGTTTCTTTCCTTTGAGGAACCCAGACATAGCTTGTGCCCATAAGACATAGTTAGTTCCGTCAAGAACAACGGAAATAGGGTGGTTAGAGGAGTTCAGGCGATCCATGAGGAAAAAGCAGTACTATCGAAGC